TAGATGACATACTGCTTATTGGAAACAGTAAGAAGGAGTTATCAGACGTAAAGGTGTGGTTGTCTAAGCAGTTTGATATGAAGGACTTAGGTGAAGCAGGACACATTCTTGGTATTAGGCTCATTAGAGATCGTAAGAAGAGAATGTTGTGCTTATCCCAGTCTTCATACATAGATACTGTCTTGGCCAGATTCAGCATGCAGGATTCCAAGAAAGGTATGTTACCTTTCAGACATGGAATACCTCTATCTAAGGAGATGTCTCCTAAGACGTCTAAGGAGATAGAGGAGATGAAGACAGTTCCTTATGCTTCGGCAGTAGGAAGTCTCATGTATGCAATGCTATGCACAAGGCCGGATATTAGCTACGCCGTTGGCATGGTAGCTAGATATCAAAGTAATCCAGGACGGGAACATTGGTCTGCGGTGAAGCATATACTCAAGTACCTGAGAAGGACTAAGGAGTACATGTTAGTTTACCGTGCAGGCAGCTTGTTACCTCTGGGTTACAGTGATTCCGATTTCCAGTCAGATAAGGATGAAAGTAAGTCAACCTCAGGTTATGTGTTTACCTTGGGAAGTGGAGCCATTTCATGGAGGAGTGCTAAGCAGAAATGCGTGGCAGACTCCACCATGGAAGCCGAGTACATAGCAGCCTCAGAGGCAGCGAAAGAGGCAGTTTGGCTCAGGAACTTCTTAGTGGACTTAGAGGTTATACCGAGTTTGCCACGTGGTATCACCGTGTACTGTGATAACAGTGGAGCAGTAGCGAACTCAAAAGAACCTCGAGCCCACAGGGCAAGCAAACACATAGAGCGCAAATACCATCTGATTCGGGATATCGTTGGTAGAGGAGACGTTGATGTTGCCAAGATTGCATCAGAGGATGCATGGCAATAGGATCGACATAGGTCTTTTAGAATAACGGATTGATAGGACTATACTGTAAAAGCGAAAGCTTTAAGTATAAGTGGGAGATTGTTAGTGTTATATACTGAAAGCTTGGCTTTGCATGTTATTACACATTTACCCTTTATGAATGAGAATCATGTTAGATTAAACAAGTTCTACGTTCTGTTGTTCTGCACTTAGATAGGGTGGGTCGTCATCGGGCGAACCGAAGATCACTCTATCAGTCACTTGCGAACAAGAATAGTTGTTCACAACCTAGATGGACATGAACACCCCATCCGAACGGTTGTAGTGTCAACTGTACAGTTTGTCTTGACTGATTAGTTGCACTAGTACATTTATGTATTGAACAGGATCCCAGAGAGGAGAAGTTCATTTTATACTGATCGTCGTAAATGAACTAGGCCTCGGTTAATTACTGCGTTCTCTTAACCCGTAAGATATTAAACAGGCAGATATATATAATATATATTACTTTGATTCACATGGGTGAGGTTCAGTTCGCTGGATTAATATTCCTACTGTTTTGGGTAATATTATTATATATAGGATGTGCTGTTAGGATATTTACGGTCACCATGTGCGTTAGTTTGATGATGTCCCCGGAGTGAGTTCATGAAGGATTGTTATGCTAAACCCTGCAGGTGGATTAAATTCCGGCATAATAAGAATGTGATGAACGAGCGCTAGCTTCGGTGAAATAATAATAAATTAATTAATTCTTGATTGTCAGTAATCGAATTAATTAATGGACATTATATCTTAAACGTGGGGAGGTAAATCGAGTAATTATTATTGGAGTCTCAAATGTAATTTGGGCTAGGGAAAGGGAGTGCAATAATATAATGTTGGTGGCCCATTAATATTATTTAATTAATTAGAGGAGTGGGTTTGGCCCACAGTTAGTCTAATTAATTAAGGAGCCCTTTTCCTAATCTCCTTAGGGTCCCTACTGTAGCTCTATATATACATCATTAAGCTCATGAGAAGAGAATAGAATTCATTCTCACGTGAAACACGCCTCTCTCTCTAGATCTCATTCGAGCTTTATCTTCTTCTTGTTGCTCCACTGGTACAAGTTGAAGAAGGGTGTATTGAGTAATACAGTAGAAGATCTGTAGGTAAACCGAGACGAAATTGATTTTGACCTACAGAACTAACCGGAAGTCCGATTGAGACGTACAGTATACCCAGACGACCGTCTCGACGAGAGCTTTCCATCGCCGCCGACGTCGCCGGAATCCGACGCCGCACGCGCCCTCACGCGCCGCCGGAAGGTGTCTGGCAGCAAAATTTCGTTTTGATCTGTTTGCATCCGTTTGATCCAGTTTTGATCTGATCTTGTTCGTGCAACCCAAGACGCGTGTTGCGGTCAATCAATTGCGGTCAACCGTTCGTGGTCAACCAGATCTACATAAATTTTAAGCCGTAAGTTCTCTACGTCAAACCTTTAGATCCGCTGCGCATAGGTTTACGTTTGCTATTGAATTCGTGATTTGTACATAACGAGATCCTCACAGATCCCAACATTTACAACTATTTTATCTTGTGAGATAAAATATTTTGGGGGTAATGTTTACATCTTATGATAGATTTGAGATTTTTTCTTGTGGATATTTTTTTTTTTTAGACAAATTTACGATTAGAGACAAATTTTAACTCAAAATTCTAACGCATATAAATAATTAAAATCAATCATTAGCTAACACATAATTTCACATATTTTTAATTACCAATAACTTTCAATAATTATTTTACTACTTTTATATCATCAACTTTAGTTATTATATTTTAACTAATATCCAAACATAAACTCAAAATCAAGTCCAATATTCCTCTCAATCGACCTTATTCCATTTTAACTCACTTTATCTGTAATTTGAATCAAAAAATTTCAAAACCAATCACAATTAAACATGTGAGGAAAAACATGTGCGGCGCGATTAAGATGATAAACAATATACAGTCACAATTTCTACACAATGTAAATGTTTTTAATGGCTTTATAATACATGGTTTTTATATGTAATAAAATGTTTTTAATTTATTTTTTTATTTGTAATTAAAGTATTTTTATTCAAAAATGATCCCATTATTGATGGAAACTATGAGTGTACTTTTTTATTTTTTCGAAACGATAGATTATATTCTTCAAAACGGTGATTATGACGAAGGTCATTTTATACCCACTCCATTCACATTTTGACACCTAGCAACCCCCAACTTGACCAAGAATAGCTGAAAAGTAGTTTTACCCAAAGACTTGGTAAAGATATCAGCTGCTTGCAAGGAAGAAGAAACATGTTACGGCAAAACGAAACCCTTGTTGTACTTATTCCAGACAACATGACAATCAATATCCAAGTGTTTTGTTCTTTCATGGAACACTGGATTGACAGTAATGTGGAGAGCAACCTTATTATCACACCATACAGAAATAGGTGTAGAAATTTAAATTTATAGATCCTGAGAAAGGCGAGCCAACAATAAAAGCTCACACACTATGAAATCCATTGATCTATACTCATCTTCAGCTGAGGATCTGGAATTGTCTTTGGTTTTTTTATCTTTCAAAAAATAAGAGGATTACCAAGAAAAATACAATATCCACTGAGAGATTTCCTGGTAATTGCACATGTGCCTCAGTCTGCATCACAATAACCTTCGAGGATATGATAAATAGTTGCAGAAAAGAAAGACCCAAAGAACTTGTCCCCATTAAGTACTTGAGCAGATGCACTACAATAGTCCAATGAGAATGAGTTAGAGTCTTTACAAATTGACTGAGTTGTTGTATTGCATAAGAGATATCGAGTCTTGACAGATTAAGATACAACAACCTCCCCACGAGCCTTCTATACTATTCTGAGTCCCCTAAAAAATAAAAATTTTGTGTAGAAGGATTTTATCTTTGCGGAAAGGGTATAACCACTTGTTTGCAATCTTCCAATCCTAGTCATGAACCATATCCATTATGTACTTGTATTGACTAAGACGAGTTCCTCTATCACTCTGAAGTATCTCAAGCCAATGGAAGAACTTAGCCAATCCAAGACTTTGATTGTGAACAATCCATGAAGATCTGCCATCCCTTGCATGGTTGTTCTTGTGATCAAAACCTCATCTACATAGATCACTGGTGCTAGAAGATGATCGTCCTTCTTTACAAATATAGAATTGCCATGTGAGGACCGTTGAAACCCATAAGAAAGTAACTTTTTCTGAAAATTATAAGTTCCACTGCCTTGAGGCTTGCTTAAGCCCATATAAACTTTTTCTGTAGCACATGCTTCCCCTTGTTTTGCCTTAGTGTAACCTTGTGGAAGCAACATATACAATCTTCTTCAACATGGAATTTAATAACCGTGAAATTACCATAAACTCTACATTTCCATATTGTTCATAATCTTTTGAATATGAATTTTGCACCTTGAATGTATACAAAATCGAGCTTCGATTTTGCTCCAAGCGCCAAGCTCATCGCTCAAATCTAGTGAAGGTAGTTCAACCAGCGATCTGGTTACTCACCAACACCATTCCAGGGTGAGCTGATTCGTGAAACATGAGCGGATCTGAGTCGCGCATATGGAAACTTTTGTTCGCCACTTTATTTTCATCATGACGCGCCATTGATTACACCAGCTCTGATACCATGTAGAACTAAGAAATCAAAGTTAATTTTTCAAATATTTTGGGGATTTTCTCGGCATCTTTTCATTCAACATCAAAATGGTTATAATGAGGACGCAGTCCTTTTACACCTCATCCATTCACACTTTTGGCAACTGATTACAACGGAAAAAAAAAAAACAAAACACTCCTTCACCTAACAATAATAAAGAGAAATACGCTTTTAACTAACACAACAAATACGCATATGTAAAATAACATGCACACATACCAATAATATGGGTTAATCAAAATAAAATAATCAAAGATGAACCACTTTTATGAGTATCAAATGTCATTTAAATAATAGTACAGTTTTTCTAAGAATGTATAAAATGATATAAAAAAAATATATTTTATTTGTTAAAAAATATTTTTATTTATATTTTGTTTTACTGAATTATTGCAGACGTTTGTTCTATCAATTTTCTATCTAATTTTTTAAAATATTGAAGTTAAATATTTGCGTGGCACAGTTGTAAATTTGAGTAGTGGCATAATCGTTAATAACCAACGAACCGTGCCCAAGTGAGAACCAGAAAAGTTGGACACCGCCACTACAATCATGGTCTCCCTTTCAACCACAAAAAATCCTGCCGGTTTCTGAAAATTGTTCCCGTACACAATCATCATCCTTCACGTACGGAGGATCGATCTCCGATTGTTTGATTATTTCTCTTCTCCTTCGAGCGGATCGACGGAACGATGTCGTTGAGGCCGAACTCGAGGGCGGAGGTCCGCCGGAGCCGGTACAAGGTGGCGGTGGATGCAGACGAGGGACGCCGCCGGAGGGAGGACAACATGGTGGAGATCCGAAAGAACAAACGGGAGGAGAACCTGCTGAAGAAGCGGCGCGAGGGGCTCCAAGCTCAGCAATTTCAGCCTGCCGTCAATGTTCCGCCGCTCGACAAGAAGGTAAAAAGTCTTTTAGCGGATTGTTTACTGGATTTTTAGAATGATTTGGATCCGATCCGATAATATTTCGTGTGTTCTGAATTGATCTGTGTGATCTGCTGCAGCACGGTGTGTTTTTTTCCTACTGATCCTGGCCCTTGAATTGTGTATCATTGTTTTGAACCTTGATTACAGTTTAGTTGAATTGAGTGAGCTCTGTTTGATGTTAATTTTCAGTTGGAAAGCCTTCCTGCGATGATCGCTGGGGTTTGGTCTAATGATGCTAATCTGCAGCTAGAGGCTACAACTCAGTTCCGTAAACTTCTCTCAATAGGTATTTAATTATCATTTGTGTTTAATGAATTTAACTGACTGGGATTGTTCTATGTGCATATTTTTGGTTGAGATTTTTTCTTTCAGCGGACTTTTGATTGGTTGTATTTCAACAGAGAGAAATCCGCCAATTGAGGAAGTTATACAGTCTGGAGTTGTTCCTCGTTTTGTTGAGTTTCTCGGACGAGATGATTACCCTCAACTCCAGGTATGAATTTATGGCTAATCTCTGCAGGCTGTTATTGTCAGATTTGATGTGTCCTTATGTAATGAATTTCCCATTACTAGTTTGAGGCAGCGTGGGCCCTCACAAACATTGCTTCTGGAACTTCTGAAAATACCAACGTTGTGATTGATCATGGTGCTGTTCCAATTTTTGTCCGACTTCTTAGTTCTCCAAGCGATGACGTCCGCGAACAGGTATATAATGAAAATTTGATGGATAAATTCTTTTGCTTTGATTTTTCCATTTTAAAAATTTTTAATCTATATGCAGGCAGTTTGGGCGTTGGGAAATGTTGCTGGTGACTCACCAAAGTGTCGTGACCTTGTCCTTGGTTATGGTGCTTTAGTGCCTTTGTTAACACAATTTAACGATCAGGCAAAATTGTCCATGCTGCGAAATGCGACGTGGACGTTATCAAATTTTTGTCGGGGAAAGCCGCAGCCACAGTTCGAGCAGGTTTGTACTGCATTTATGTTTCAACCTGTCAAGTTGCTTTAGAATTTGTTGTTTTCACCACCCTCAATAACGTCACCTATCTCTTAATTGGAATCCGTTGAGCAGGTCAAACCAGCATTGGCTGCTCTTACTCGTCTCATACATACAAATGATGAAGAAGTCCTTACAGATGCTTGCTGGGCACTTTCATATCTATCTGATGGCACTAACGATAAAATCCAAGCTGTGATTGAGGCTGGTGTGTGCCCTCGTCTGATTGAGCTATTACTGTAAGTAATAGATTTTTTGTGTTCTGTTCCTAAAAGTAAAGCCATGCTTATGTATGTCAATCCTTTGAATTTTTTTTTTCTTTTTTTGTTTAAAATTACATGCATTTTCTGACTGATTTTTTATTTTTTTTTATTTAATATTTCATGCACTTTCTGACTATGTATTTATTTTTTTTCCTTTATTTTTTGTTTTGGGGTTTGTAGTCATCCTTCACCATCGGTTTTGATTCCGGCCCTGCGCACAGTTGGTAATATTGTGACTGGTGATGATGTCCAGACTCAGGTACTTGGCTAGATTGTTATAATTCTATCTCCAGACATTTATATCTTGATTATAAATATAGTTCCTAAGTTTTACCTATGCCTTTTGTGTACATCTCTGGAAACAAAAATCATAAAGAAAAAGGAATGAAACTTCCTCAATGTGGTCTTGTGAGGTCATGACTTGTGAACTTTGACAGAGACTTAGTAAAAGATTTTTTCATATTCATCATGTTTTATCTGATACAGTTTTAAAGCCTTCTTATTATTAACCTGTTTACTTCGAGCGTCAATGCATTATTAACCTGTTTATTTTTTTTGGAAACGGGCACTCCGTTCTATTTGTTTCCATGATATTTAGGTGATCATCAATCACCAAGCTCTCCAATGCCTCCTTAACTTGTTGATGCAAAATCATAAGAAAAGCATAAAAAAGGAAGCTTGTTGGACCATCTCAAACATTACTGCAGGAAATAAAGAGCAGATTCAGGTACGCAGAGAGCGGTGGAGTTGTTATCCATTGGTTTTTAACTAATTGATTCCATGAGTCGTTTTTTGTTAATGTTTATCAATGTTATCAAATATTAATGGCGGTTTGTTAACAATCCGCCATGCCATACTTCCATGGCTGCCATTTGATAACACTGATATTTATGAACCGTAAGCCATTGCAACCCTTACTCATATTTTCATTCTTGTGGAGTCCGATGAACTTCCTTGTTGTTTATGTTTCACAAAGACTTCTTATCCAAGTCTTTTCAGTTTCACAACAATAGTGGCTCATGCTTTGTCATTTAAATAAACAGGCTGTGATCGATGCTGGCGTAATCTCCCCTCTAGTTCGTCTGCTTCAAAATGCTGAATTTGAGATAAAGAAAGAAGCTGCTTGGGCTATTTCTAATGCCACTTCTGGTGGAACTCATGACCAAATCAAGTACAATAAATATTCTGCTACAGTTTCCTTTATTCGTTTTTTTTTTTTCCTCCAAATTATGGTAAATACTCACTCAAACAAAAATACGATTACAGAATTTTGGTGCATGAGGGATGCATAAAGCCTTTGTGTGACCTACTGGTTTGTCCCGACCCAAGAATTGTCACAGTCTGCTTGGAAGGTCTTGAGAACATTCTAAAGGTTGGAGAAGCCGAGAAGACTCAAGGTAACACCGGGGATGTGAATGTCTTTGCACAGATGATTGACGATGCGGAAGGTCTTGAAAAAATTGAGAATCTGCAATCCCATGATAACAATGAGATTTATGAGAAGGCAGTTAAGATACTTGAAACATATTGGTTGGAAGAAGATGATGAGCAGCTGGTGCCTTCTGATGATGCTCAACGTTCTGGCTTCAACTTTGGGGATGGTGCACCTCCCGTTCCATCTGGGGGTTTCAAATTCAATTAATGGTAACTTGGATTTTTTTTATTTTTTTTTCTATTTATTTAAAATTTGTTTTTAACTGACCAAAGTGAGATTTGCAGTTGCATAAATGTGTATTATTGTGTCTTGTTTCCCATATCCGAGTTTGCANCAATGACAGGTTTGAAATTTTAAATATATACATTTTCAGGGTTGCATTATATGATTTCTGATTCTAGATCTATTGTGAGTTTGACTTTTGTGATTCTTAACTAGTTTCCCATATGTGCACAAATAAATCACTTCCTCTAAAAGCCAAAGTGTATGCAACATTCCCTGAATATGATGTCTATGTTGTCTGATTGTTTTGTTCGGTTATTAATAATTGCGAGATGAGTGCTCTGAGCTCTAGTAGTTGACATCCAGCTTCATTTTTAGGTTAATCTTTTGAATCTTCAAATTTTCCGAATGCGTGTCATTTTTATTTGCAGGAGGTATAAATCTGTCTTGTAGTCGAAAGTCTTGTGATGTGTTTAGATGAATCGCCATCAGAGATATCAATTGGGCTGTTGTGTGCTGGTATATTGTGTTTGTCCCGTGAGGCAGCTGGATAATAAATTATCTTCTATTCGCATGTTTTTTATACAAGCGAAAATTGGAGTCCTTTTTTGTTTTCGTCGGCCAACAGTGTGTTTTGTCTTTTT